AATTAAATCTTCAATGTGGTTCGAGGGACACAAGTTTCTATTAGACGATATGTCTAAATGGCCGGTCAACAAACATTTTGAGTTGACTGAGGAACAAAAATCATTGGAAGAAAGAAAATCCAATGTTGTATTCACTGTAGATAGCAAGACAGATAAGGAATGTTCTGATAGCATTCTTTTGAAATTAATAAATGATCATATATATATATATATATATATATATATATATATATATATATATATATATATATATATATATATATTTATCTACTTCTCTATCTTCTGTAGGAAGTGGTTAGCACACCATTTTCTAAATCCATCTTCCTGTAGTAAGATATTAACCTGTGTCAATTGCCGTTGTTAAACTGTCGGACCCGCACATGCAATCGTCAACGTAAAAATTCTTTTGAAGTACCAGCGCCCCCAATGGATATTTTTGCATGTTTGTATCTGATGGCCTTTTCAGACATCTTGTAGCAAGATATGGGGCACACATCGTACCATATGACTTGCAAGAGGCATCGAACACAACCCTCAGCTTTGTTGTGCTGCTATTTGGGCGTAGAACACACTGATGCGGGATATAGTAATGATTACCACGCACATCTATTGATTGTATTTTCGTCATATGTCCCAGATCCTCGTACTCCTTCATAAATTTAGCATACTGCTCGTGAAGAATTGCATCCTTAGATAAGCGACGCTCCAACGCAAAGAATTTTGATGCTGCAATATTCAAGGATTTGGAAATCTTCTTAGGGCTGTCTGCAAATACTGTTGTATTTTGGTTGAAGTGATTTTCAAACTGTTCTTCTGCTATTGTCAACTTCTGATCTTTACAAACATCGTCTTGTTCCCAGAACTTATTTAATAAATCTTCTAGAACACGTTCATATTTTCCGAAATCGGCGCATATCACAGTTTCAGATTCAGCCTGAACTCTTCCACTAGCAATCTACCCTAGTTTTCAGTTCTTCAATATAGGAAGCTCCTTGGACATTCGAAGTTCTTGTGAGAGAATCAGGTTGAAGTAGAACTCTGCTCCAAGTAGTACGTCAATCCTGGCCATTGTATAAAAATAGGGATCTGCTAGCTTTATGTTTTCTGGAATAAGCCATGATGTGATATCGGTGTCAGTGCTTGGTTGGGGTGGCACTATATTTGGTAACACGAAAGCTTCTAGGCGCGTTCTGAGTTTGCTGTTCAGTGACTGAAGCTCCACGTTGACCCTATGGTTTGCGGTTCTCGATCTTTCGCCAACACCTTCGATACAGAGCGATGCTTGAATGGGTACGATACCCAACCTCTGCACTAGTCGCTCTGACACCAAATTAATCTGTGAACCGGAATCCAGAATCGCCTTAAACTCATAGCTTCTTCCATTATTTTCCTTGATCGCAACCCGTGCGGTTGAAAGGAGTACGTATGATTGGGATCTATTCGCCGATGCTACTGTTAGTGGCTGCTGAACTGACAAATCTGCTGACTTGTTCTCTACTTGTGGCCTCGTTGAAAAATGCAAAAGTGTATTGTGGTTTTGTTGACACTTCCTACACTTGCCACGTGTACACGTTCTTGCCTGATGGTCATCCTTGAAACAATTTAGACATATCTTGTGCCTAGCAACCCATTTCTGTCTTTCGGGCACTGTCATTGCCAAGAACTGTTTGCAGTAATATAGGGGGTGGTCAACTTTGCACATGTGACATCTACGGATCGTGGTGGAAGAAATCGTTGCTGACGGTTTGCTTTTCTGAATCCCAATGACAGCTTCTAATGATTCGACGCGACTCCCCAAACATTTCATGAGCTCGTTTGGAGCTCTTTGGAATCCTTTATTCCAATACCAATGCCAATAACGATTCATGAAGACTGTCATGAAAGTCCTTCATTGATCTGCTTCCGCCAGACATGTTGGGCAGGTTTAGCATTCTCTCAAGTATAGTTGACACTTGAGCTCTCTTGTTGTTGTACCCGTCTTGGAGTGTCTTCCAGGCAATGTCGTAATTCGCCTCGGTCAACTCGTGGTGCCTTGTGGGAGCAAGTACATAAGAAGCTTGAGGTCATGGCTGGGCATATTTTGTGACATTTCATAAAGGAATTACAAGCCGCACTAAAATTCGGCCGTCGTTTTTCTTTATAATTTGACATTAATATGCCTAGCCATGACTTCAAGCTTTTTATGTACCTGCTCCTTATGAGTTTCTCGGCTTCCCCAGTTACGTTGGCCTTGAGATACCACATTTTTTAGACTTGTGGCAAGGCTTTCTCGTTGATCATTTTCCCAAAAATTGAGGGATTGTAATTATTGGCAGATTAACTTAATTTGCCAAGTTCTCGCCTGATCTCTGCTAACACGACGAATGATCGACCTGTGTTAGCGTCGATATTTTTTCTTTGAACCTTAACGTATCTTCCTCAAAGGGAACGTATGCTGATGCACCGTACCCACCAACGTTGGGTCTTCAAAGTCCTCGAACATTTTGAAGTGGATATCGTCCACGTGTGTCCACAGTTTTTCAATTGCAGCCACTTCCTGACAGGGAGTAGCTTGGCCTGAACTGTCCCTTATTAAAGTTTGAATGGACTGCATAAGGCCCTCTGACGTCTCACTAATGCAGCCACACTGCTGGTTGCAGTAAACTGGCTAGTTTGTTTTTGTACCCCCTCGCTTATTGCCGGAAGCGGTTTTTGAGGCGTTCGTTCCTTGCCCCTTTTGATGTCTGCCTCGATGTTGTCGATTGCAGTCCTATATTATTTTCCAATGTTTTGGTACTCGTTACTGACGATATGGGGATGTGACTCTGCTGCAGGATCCGCTCGTATCTTGTTTTCATTGCGGTCGATATCCGCCCAGAGTGCTTCCATCTCTTTTAACTTTTTGGCGTAGAACTCCGCTGTCCTTCTTTCCAGTGGAGCCTTTTTCACGTTCGCAATCGCCTTCCTCAATTCGTCAATTGCTGCTTGTTGTTGCTCTATTATTATAGGTAGATCCATACTGTGTCCGCTTTGGCCTGATTAACTATCACTTGATCCAGATGGTTCTTAATGTAGGAACTGGCTTCTTCTCCAGATGTTTCTGGCTCTTGGATGGTGCTACTAGTTGTACGTAACTAGCTCCTTTCGCAAATAAATATTTCAAATTCCTTACCACTGCTGGGGGGAAATTCAAAATTTATGAGTGAATTAAGTAATCCTTGTCCGGATCACGTCGGGGTCACAAAAAAATGTTTATTACTTGTAAGTAAAGAAGATATACACAACACTTCAATTGTGTAACCTTGGTATGTTTACAATTTCTTGTAATCTACCAAGAAACTTTATTTTCGCTTGGTATTTGGATATATAAAATACTTCAACCAATAGCCCATGCAATTGTGAAACCAATCGAGTTGTTTCTTTATTTGGGTATTTGACTTGCCTAAAATAAACACTGAAACCAAAATTATATGAGGTCAGTTATATGCTGTCATAGAACAAAACTATTAAATAACAAAGACCAAAAATATTATGTGTAAAAATTATGTTCTTTTGAACAGATGCATCAACCCTTGGGACTATTGATATTTCAAAAGCTTTCAAAGGTTTTATTTTAAATAAATAGATTTTTATATTTTTTCTTATACGACACCAATCGGAGGCTGTTATGATAAAAACAATTTTCACGAATTTGTATAATTTTTCATGCAAAATTTTGCTTGATAGTTCAATGTCCCAGCAGATTTGTCGACGCAACTACCTGTATTTTTATAATGGGTCTAAGTCTTATGCCAGACTATGAAAATGGGAAAACATTTTCAATAAAAACTTTCATAGACTGGCATAAGACTAAAGGGGTTCTGTACTATTGTGATTTGACTTTCTATGAATTACGTTTTTGATATCAAACATGGCTCAAGTATAAGGTCCCCCTGCCAAACCAGCTGACTACCAAATGTAATGTCAAAATGCATTTTTGTGATTGGAATCACAAAGTAATGCTAGGAACACAATTGGAGCGAACGACGAATTTTTTCGCGGCGTATGTTCGTCGTCAAAAATAAAACACATATGTGTATATGGAAGTGCACACAATCACGGCACCGGCGAAAATTTCGTCGGTCGCCGCGAACTCAATTAGCTTTATTTCTATTTCATACGCCGGCGACCGGCGAACAAAACAGTACAAGGTGGCCATACTTGTACGAATTTTATGTGTTTTAGTAAATAAAGTTACTTTTTACTTTAAAATTTGTTATGGTCACTCTACTATCTGTTACTCGTATAAAAAAACATAATTAATTTGTTTATTTATTTGTATACTTGCCCCTGAGTGAAGATGGATATCAGTGAATTTATAATAGAGAAGATGGACATAAGTGAAATTATAATAGAGAACGTAAAGAATTATGTCTTCTTGTATAATTCATTGTAGTCAACAAATGAGCAAAAAGTAAACAACTTCATCAGCTGTTTTATAATTTCGTCGGTATTGTGTTCCATACGACGAATTTTCGCGGCTCATTTTGTCGCCGCGTAGGGCGAAATTCGTCGTTCGCTCCAATTGTGTTCCTAGCATAACAGAAAAATAATAGTCAAAAAAAGTGTTAACATTTTGACATTTCGTCTGGTGTATAAAATTTGCAGGAACGCCTTGTCATAGTATCATGATATCAATCTTAACAGCGTTTCCTAAAATTCGTTTTCGATCGTCGTTTTTCACCACTCAAGTAATACACATGTATCCACAAGAGAGTTGCCCAAATACGTCGGGCGTCTTTTTTCCGTATGTTAAAAATATAAAATACAAAAATGTGAATGTTCTAATTCGAAATGTACCAATTAGGTGAATTTAAAAAATTATTAATTTTAAAATAAGGATCTGGAGTATTCGATATTACGGACGTACAACACATTTTTCAACAACACATGATTATTTGCATACGCTACGTCGAATTTTAGGTAACGCTAAAAAGTTATGTTTCTAAACCGACGGCGCTAAGTGCGATACGCCGATTCGCGTTTATAATGAGTCACGCATTTAGATGAGGTAGAGTGGAAAAAGCCACCTCATCTCTTGAATTGTAATTTTTTGGAAGACATTTTTCAGGATGAAGTTCTTGTGGTTGCTGGCCATTTTGGCGGTGATTTGTTACGCAAATTGTGTAATGTTTCATCTTTCTCCCAATACACAGAAGTGTCTGCAGGAAGATATGCAAGCTAATCAACTTGTAATGGGTGAATATGAGGTTACAGACGTGCCCGGTCAAATCATTGATTACATAGTAAGCGAATCTTCATAAAAGTAGTCTTAAATTTTAAATCCCCGGTTTTTAATACAATATATTTTTAGGCCCGTGATTCGAAGGGGCATATACTTTCCCAGAAAGAACACATTACAAAAGGAAAATTTAGCTTCATGTCAGAGATTTACGATACCTATGAAATTTGCTTTATTTCTAAAGTGCCACCTCGTAAGTACTCATAAACCTATAAACCATAAATAATAACAATGTGTGTTTTTTTTTAAGATCAACGAGGTGTCATTCAGGAGATATCGTTGGTAACTAAGAAAGGAGTGGAAACTAAAAACTATGAAGGCGTAAGTGTAACTTTTTAGTTTCTGCAATCTATTTTTTGTAACAGTTGGACATTTCAGATTGCTGAGGCTTCAAAAATAAAACCACTCGAAGTAGATTTGAAACGCTTGGAGGACTTATCGGACTCAATAGTAAGAGATTTTGCGTTGATGAGAAAGCGCGAAGAGGAAATGCGAGATACTAATGGTAAGAACAGTTGCATGTTGCAAATGGCTTATTTCTAATTATTTGTAATTTTAGAGAAAACAAATAGCCGAGTGCTATTTTTCAGCATCTTCAGTATGTGCTGCCTTTTGGGTTTAGCCACATGGCAAGTTCTTTATTTGCGTAGATACTTCAAAGCCAAGAAACTCATAGAATAAAAATAAATGTTAGTATTTTTTTAAGATGCATAAAATGTTATTCAATGTGGTAAGGTTTTCTGGTCTGTATATAATCGAAAATGAATCTTTCTTTAGAAGAAGGAATACATTCATTATTAACGTTGCTGTATTTTTTCATTATAAAGAGCGCATTATGTGAAATAAATCGATTTTTATACATTTTTTAAGTTCTATACAACGAGATAGTATATGTAAGTTAATAAAAAGACTTGTGTGCCTTTTGGTGAGTTAGAATGAACTAACTTCTTTATTCAAATCAAAAACTTATTCTACTTAAACTAAACAAATCAAAATTGCTGACAATACGCTGACACTACACTTCCCATGGTCACGCCACCAGACGTAACACGACTCCATGCTAAGCACGCAACAGTCAACCAAGCAAAGCTCACAAAGGCAACATTGTTGCCTGTTAGTTTGGCAGGGATGTGCTAACTACCCCCTCACTTAAGTGAAGGCCGTCCTCGGTCTTCTTTATAGCCATTGCTACGGCAGATTGAAAATCTCGCTGTTCTCTCTTCTTCGCCCTACGCTTAACGAGGCACAATATGGAATAGAGTAATCCGATACTCATAAAAACAACACAACCAACTAATATTGGCCGCACTTTTGCATCTCTTTCAAGTTCGCCAATATATTGTAAGTTTTGCAAGTTCATCTCATGGACAGATGATAAACTTAAAATTTCGCTGTGGTTGTTTATAATAATTGAGGGAAATGATGGTGTTCCTGGTTTCCGCATATCAATGTTGTTTCTATTTACGAACAGCGTACCATTGACAGTCACATTTTTTTCAAAAGTTATTAGGAATGTGCCGTTTATGTTTCTTACATTTTCGGTTGCTTCTTTCACTTCTGCAATAGCGTCATTCACAATGACAATTCCATCATCGATTTCTGCCACTTTTTCAAGATTATTGCTTTGCGTATTACAGTGTGCTGATTTACCCGATATGAGTTGTTGAGCGCAGGTTGACTCTGGCATCAGTTGACAATAGGTTGAAGATATTGCGTGCTTGCAATCTGTTGCTGAATAAGTCTTTCCTTCACAGTCTACCACAGTGTTGGTGTCAGCGAATTGAATAATTTTATTGAAGTGGGGAACTGGGAATAAAGAAATTTTCTGACATGTTCGTATTGGAATGGGATATCTAATGATAAAATGCAAACAAAATTCATTTGATATTACTTTTACTTTAGACAAATACATTAGTTCTGATATGGTAAAATCTGTGTATTGCTCATTGATCTGATTTTTTATAAAAAATTTTAAATCATCCTGGTCCAAAACTGTGGGATTTATAATATTGATTTTAGCCAAAGTTACAGATAAAATTATATTTTGTAATTCCATAAGCAGCATTCTGTTTCTAGCCATTAAAATTTCAAAAAGTTTAACAGTATCAATTTGTTCCTTTCGTTCGGTATTTAAGATTGTGTTTACTGCATTGGTCAACTTTTCTATTTGGATCTGTATTTTCGTATTTATTTCTATTTGTCTGTTGTTGGAATCTACGAGTTGTTTCTCGACAAATTTGACATCCTCCCAGTCATCGGCATCTGGTGTACCGGCAATAACCTTCAGTGCTGTGCCTATAAGATTGATGCTTCTCGCATGCCGATGATGTACGGTGAGTGTTGTTAAAAGAGTATCAATATGCAATACATCGGCCTCCAATATCTTTTTAACATGCGTCTGAGGGAAGATCTGTATTGCGTTTTTTGTATCGTCTAATATCTCGGAATACGTTGTAAGGTTTGTCGTATGTCTTAAGTACCCATATTTGTTCCATATAATCGCGTTCCCGTCCAAAATTGGGATATAATCGGAATGCGAATAATCAATAATCTTTGCAAATGTGAGGTTTATCATAAGAAACAATTGTAGTGTTAGCCTGCGTAAAGAAAAATAAAAGGTAGGAGAAGAAACATTTAGACATCTTATTGAAAGGATTATCTTAGGTTGTCCTTATGGACCACCCTCCCCTTTATTAGGACAGTTGTCCCCATGTCTGCTTCAACAGTAGCTTCTTCATAAAATTGTATCACTGACTGTCCGCCTTGTCTGAGGGTACTTAGTTCCTGTTCGATCAGGTGAATTGGTTGTTTATCTGAGTACGTAAAGTCCAACCTATTTATTATAGCTTTAAAATTTAACACCGTATTGAATGATGCTAATACTGCATCTGCCGGTCCTCTAATTTTATTTCTAATGATACAGACCGCTTGGTAGTGCCTTGAGCTACCATCATATCTTTCAAAAACTTTATACGCGTTATGTGCCGCTTGTCTCCACGACACATAATTTTCTATTTTCCCGTCAAATTCGGGCAAAGATTTAATAACGTCTAGCGACTCATCGCATGTTATTGTTGAAAAAATTTTTACTTCCTCATACGGTTTTACATCTGTTTGTCCTATGGAAATGGACGACAATTTTCTTGATAGATCGTCGACTTTTTTGTCGACTTCTGATTTATGTGTCTGAATCGCTGCACGTACAGCGGATTCTATCAATTTTGAAATTTCGTCCGCGTTCATAATATCTTTTTTTATAGAAAAGTTGGTATAACACAATCTTAATCACTGCACAGAAATTGAAATATTTTAAATACGCACTATACGAAGTAAAAAAAATCTCTTGATATTTTCACCTGTTTTTGGACACACAATTTTTTCGACAAATTTTTTTTTAAATTCAATGAGTAATACACTTACATGACTTTGTTTTATATTATAATATGTTAGTGGATCCTTAGAGCTTCTTAGGGCGTCTTTTCTAGAGTGTAGAGCTTATCCCTTTTGCGTTAGTTGGACGACTTCATACAAAATAGATCCTCCGTTGGGTAGTTTTCGTTCTGGTTTTTGTGTAGACCTTATTCCTTTTGTGCGAGTTGGACGACTTGGGTAGTTTTCGTTCTTGTTTTTGTGTTTGGGTTGGGTCAGAGATTACTTTTTTCAAAGTAAATCCTTTAAATAAACCCGGTTGGGCGCCAGTTAATAAAAAGACTTGTGTGCCTTTTGGTGAGTTAGAATGAACTAACTTCTTTATTCAAATCAAAAACTTATTCTACTTAAACTAAACAAATCAAAATTGCTGACAATACGCTGACACTACACTTCCCATGGTCACGCCACCAGACGTAACACGACTCCATGCTAAGCACACAACAGTCAACCAAGCAAAGCTCACAAAGGCAACATTGTTGCCTGTTAGTTTGGCAGGGATGTGCTAACTTGTACTATTCTAAATATGAACTTTGAAGCGTATTTGCGTAAAAAATTGTCTTTTGAATCAAATCCTTGACAGATTGTGGACTTTCCGAACCGTAGCTTATGACTTTTGCTTATGTATAGGGGTTAAAATGCTAACGCCAATTTAGCAATAGCACCGAAAATTTTCAGCCTTCCCTGCTAACACATCTTCAAAAAATGTAGCCCATCAATGAGCTAGGCCAATAAATAGCAACACATTACAAAAAATTAGCCGAGATAGCTAATGCTACTTGAAAGAGAAAATTGCATTGAGCAGCTGAAGCTAAAATTAACTTAGCCTTAACATCAAAACAGACAACAAAAACAAATCAATCCCACAGCAGCGGGTTCTACGACACCGGATTGACCCGAAACAACAGCACTCCAGTTTCGCCAAACCAGTGTACACCTAAGTCTGTTTTCACACGGTCTTTTTGTACACGGTTTTGATATAACACGGTTTGAAAATTGAATATTTTTAATTTTTTTACACGATTTTATTCCATTTAGCACGATTTGAAATTTTATGTACTTAAGTTTGTTTTGTCAAATTTAATTTTTGCGAAGTATGTTCATATCACAAAAAAGTATGAAAGAAAAAAAGTCTGAAACCATCGATAGTATCGATAGTTTGCGAACACTAGCTTAAAGATTTAAGTGAATTCCCCTTTAGCGCGAACAAACAATTTTTGCTGGTCAAAGCAAATGTGAATAGCACTAATTTAGGGGAATTCCCTTTATGTGCATACAATAAAATTTACTGGTCAGAGTAATTGAAACGTGTTAATATTTTGTAAACTGTCAATGCAATAAGTCGCGTTTGGTAAAGAAAAAATTAAAAAAATTAAAATTCTTGTTTTTCACTAATTTTAATAGGTTTTAGAGATTAGGAACAAATCACCCATTTTTGTATAAGATCAATGTCTTTTTTTACACGTTTCTTTTTTACACGGCGGCTTAAGTTGAGTTTAGGGGCTATGCTCGGACTGACCTGAAATTTTTACGACGTGTAGATCTTTTGGAGCAAGTTGAGTTTAGGGGCTATGCTCGGATCATTTTGAAATTTTTACCGCAGGTAGGTATTTGTAACCTGATTACGGCAATGTAATTTTTTTGTGGGGGAAATACCCGGTTACCCGGTTATTCGACCCAAATACGTAACCGATATCAATAAAATGGGTATCATTTGAAAGCTTATGAAAATACCTATCCAACAAGTGGTCATATGACGGGGTTGCGGTTTCGGAGAAATTTAGGAAAATTTGCATTTTTGTATGAGTACTTTTTGAAAAACCTATAAAAACTCGAAAATGGACCCATTATAGGGTCTTAAAATCTATACACTATATTATAGCTAACACTATTGCCTTTCCAAAATGGTGTCATATGTGTTGATATCTTTTGTGGTTCCGTGGATATAAGAGATAGAATTCATTAAATTATATTTTTCTCCAGTCTAGATGCATTTGACTTTGACCTTTATAGCTTTTTTAAGCAACCGGCCTTCGGCCGGGGCTTAAGATTTTCTCCTCTAGGGTATGTCCAACACCGGCTACGCGATCCATAGTTTTTCTAAAAATTGTAATTTTTGTAAGTAGCCGGCCTTCGGCCGGGGCTTAAGATCACGGCGGCTTAAGTTGAGTTTAGGGGCTATGCTCGGACTGACCTGAAATTTTTACGACGTGTAGATCTTTTGGAGCAAGTTGAGTTTAGGGGCTATGCTCGGATCATTTTGAAATTTTTACCGC